GACGCATGGGTGTGGTGCTGCTGACGCAGGAGCCGGCGTTCTGACGTAGAACACGCATGCGCTGTACCTTGTTTGCAGTAAGAGGAATGCACAACCATGTGTTGTGGTACACATGAATGCGCGTCAAAAACTGACATGGAACAGAAGAAATTGTTGAATAAAGTCGTTATTTTTGTTTTCTTTGCACACTAAGTATTTTTGTAGCTTCATAAAATGAAAGTTTAACCACTGATGTCACATGGGCTATTTTAACAATGTCCTTACTAGCTTTCTGGGCCTTGAACGTGGTAGTTCCGTTGCTGTCTATACAGGGTCAGAAAGCTCTCGGATTTCATCAGAGATATCTTAATCAGTGTTCTGAAGATGAACGAAGGTCTTAAGGGTTTGGAACAACATGAGGGTGAGTAATTAATGACAGAATATTCATTTTTCATCCCTTTAAGTTAAAAAGCTCCCCTTTGTAAAGGGGCCTTCCAGCTACCATGAAAACAGTCAATAATGTAGACATATGTAAGCTCCATATATGGACTGCTCACTAATATAAGACGTAATGTACCGGCACGCACAGACATAAGCAGGCTAAAAACCACAATGAAATGTGTGTGTGTGTGTTTGTGTGTGTTTGTGTGTGAGCATCCCCTGTGCACAAGGGTTTTCCTCTCTTTCTGGCCAAATGATTTCCGCTTTGCTTCAGAAAATACTTTGATAGGGAGGATGCGAGCAGTTAGGACGCCGTCTGTCTGAAGATGCTGTTTTTTTTTTCCTGCTAGGGCACTAGGCTGTCTTAACCGATTTCCCTCCTTTGACTTGCGTGGCTTTGACTGTTGACACAATGCCTGCTCATTGTTTGTCATTGCTGCTTTGACCTTGGAGCTCCTAGATGGGGAATATGTATTTGTTGCATGGAGAGCTCATTGGTCATTAAAGTTATAAAGGGAAAAATGTATGTAAATAGATTCTGCATCACTTTGTGCATTTGTGTTTTTGAATCGGTGGGTGGGTATTCACTTGTTTTCAGTGTAGTTCAGAAGCCATTTTTTGCAAATTCAGAACAATTCAATAATTCAGTTTGATTCAGTATTTTTTTTAAATGCTTTTAGATGTACTTAACTGCTTCACCTAATGCATTTTAGTATAGAAAAGGGAAAAAAGACAAACTTCTGTTTACTTATTTTATATTTTATTTAGGGCTGTGCGATATGGACAAAAAAAACCTATCGCGAT